GAAAGGTGGCGGATAGGGAAACATATACACACACAAACATAATTTGCACAGGCAAGCATGCCACACACAAGCATATACTGCATCTGGTTCTTGCCTATGTAACTGTAAAGACAAATTCCTGTTTTCATTCCTCATGGGGAATTTACATAGAGCCATTATCTGGAGACTTACCCTAACCTAATCGTAACCATAACTACTACTTGCCTAACTTTAACCTTTTTTCTAATGTTACCTTAATGAAGTCATCATCCTAAAATTCACTGATGAGGAAGACTGAATCTCCGCCATGTGTTGACAGGTTTTTACATGTAATTATATGTGCACATGTGCACACATATACAATACGTATGCATGAAAACAATTAACACAGACGAACAAAGCAACATACAATCAGGCTTGCACACTGATGCACACACATACCCAGCAGCCTTCCTGTTGGCTGTAAAGGCCATATGTGATAATGGCTTCCTGGATGTTAATGCTCTGTCTGCTCCTCGGTATTGCTGCTCGCATTGTTTTGAATTGTGAAATGTCAAAAGTGAACCGGCACATTGTTTATAATGGCATTGACAGTGTTCATTTAGAGCAAATACAAAAAAAAATGTTCCATAGAGTCTTTGAATAGTTAATTATGTGCTGTAAGTGTGCATATGTGAGTGTGTATATGTGTCAACTGCAAACTGAACAATGTGACTCAGGCAAGTGGAGGACTAGCAGTAGGCCTAATTGTTACTGTAGAGAACAGAATGGATCAATAAGTATAGATCACATTCTGTCCAATAGGAATAATTGGTGATGTTTGAGCAAGCATTGTGGTAACACATTGACACAAGTGAGCTAGGAGGAAAACATCATCAATTCCAAAGAAAATGAGCAATTTGACAGTTTTAGTTGTTGTATCACAACTTGATCATCCACAGCTTTGCTTTACTGGGATCAAACAAAATAAATGGAGACTCACTGTTGGGAATTTTCCTCTTTATGAATCAAGAAACCAAGGATTTTTCTGTTGTGAAAAATTTTTTATGTTCTCTAAAATATAAATGTCCAAATTCCTTCATTAAGGATGTTAAAGAACTGAAACAGCTATCTTTCTTAACTAAAGATATTAATTTTATGAAGAATTTACAATTATTTTTCTCTGTCAAATAGTTGTTTGAATAGCTTTTGTTGTATGAAATAAAAAAAATGGTTCTGTCATAGCAGAACTCCTTTTCAAAATGTTATTCTTAATAGAAGATTAAATCATCATTTATTATTATTATTATTATACATCTTGTGTGTAACATACTTGGCCAAATAAAGGCGATTATTATTATTGGTGATGCCTATGAACAATGAATAAAGTGACTGCTAAACAACAAATCTAAAAATTTGGATCATACCCCAATATTTCAGACATTTACACAAAAACTGTTCATTGTTCCACTCTTACTCTTATCCTCTCTCCATTTTGAAATGTTTGTTCAAATAATGACAGCAAATAAGTGCCAATGATTGGCAGAAAACACCAAACCATTGTCCCTGTTTAGCTGATGAGTTTAAATGTCAGTGACAAAATGGATCCCATTGATTTGTCCTTTACGTACTGTACATTTGCATTGTTATTTATTGCATTGTTATTGTTATTTAATTCTTCTTTTACTTTGCTGTTATTATTTTTGTTCCACTGTGTCCTCCTTATATTTTAAGGTTATGGGGCTTGAGGTTTAGACGGTGTCTTCATAGTGGGAATCCTGCAAGATTTTATTCTCTTCTGTGGGATTTGTGCTCACTGCGGAGTGAAGGAATGGTGAATATGTGAGGCAGCAGCTGTGGTGGTGAACACAAAGCGCAAGTGCAGCCTGTGATCAGTGGCCAGGATGTGTCTATCAAGGATAGACTGAAGTGTAAAGCACAGCATGGCTTGTGCAACAGTGACATCTTTTGGTTCGCCGTTTTCTGGTGGAGCTGAGGCTGTTTGTCAGTACAGCCTGCAGGCCAGCCACACTGCAGTAAACAAAGATTATGCTAACATTATGCAAATGACTCTTCCATCTGTACACAACTCCTTTGTGTTAGCCTGCACTCTGTCTATGTTTTCTGAGAGTTATTTGAGTCCTTGAGGCGACAGAGCAGCCATATGTTGACAAGTCTGAAGTTGATAGGAAATCTTGTTCTGACAAATACAAAGGAACATACTATATTGTTTCAGATGCAGCGTGCTGGCTGAGCATGAAATTAGCTTTCAGACGTGAGCCAGCAAATAAAAGTCCGAACTTGGAAACGCTCACAAGTTGAGACTTGTTTTCTAAAGGATTTCTCTTGTCATATTTTTGGCACTTGACACACATATATAACATATTGTGCAAAAATTAACACTTTAGGAATTCAGTTGATATTTGTTGATGTGACCTGACCTATTTCCAGTGAAGAGAAACCTTAATGCTAAAGTAATGCATCTGCAGTTTGGGATTATTGCTTTGCAGTTTCAGCATGATAATGTCTCCATGCAAAAGCCAGGTTTGTGCAGAAATGGTTTTCTCACACTGAAAAAAAGGACTCACCGGGTCTTTTGATTTATACAAATTATGCTAGAATATACAACGCAATTCATTCATATTTCCTCTGTTAACATAATTCAAACAAGTTAACCCCTAAAGAAAATTATGTTGGTTTTACACATTATCATTGTGTGGGACCAATGTACACATTACAATCAAGTAAATCCAACAAATCAAGATCATCTTTATACACAGTCTCCATGGTTCTCACAATGAAATTAAGTGTTCTGTCCGAAATACTTGATTTTCTGGTTTGACAACAAACTCACTTTCAAAACTGATGTGGACACCTGATTTTAAGTTATGTTCAGCTCATGCTGAAAGCAAGCTTGAGAGAACTGGTTCCAGGTGCAGATGCTCCGTATAAATGAGCTGAGCTGCAGAAAACGCTGAAACTGAAAACTCTCCTTTCACTTGAGAATTTTATCATTGCGGTTTTATGAAAACCATTGTAACCTGTGTGTGTGAAATGTTTTATATTTAAACTATATGTTATTCTTGTACACAGGTCTACAAACAGCAAACTACTGTAGGGTGAAATCTAGGTCGGTTCACTAAAGCTACTTAGAAAAAGTTCTACTTTGTAAAAAAAAATGTACATGTGTTACAAAATCATACCAAAATTGCAAGGAACGTTATATTTTTGTTGTAAACAAATCCAATTTGAGCACTGGTCTAAAAATATGGGCCTGTTGTCTTGTCAGTTTTGACATGTACAATCTTAATAATGGGCCTATATTTTTACTTGTCAGAGCAGAATCTTGTTTATGCGACACATGAGCTGTCTCTCCAGCCCAACAGGCAGCTCCCTCTGGCAGTGAAGATGTCTCTGCCAACACTGAAAAGCTGCTTATGTAGCTGTTGTTAGCATGGCAAAATAAAATAAAAAAATAGTAATTTCCATATGTAGCCCAAATTGTCTGTAGTTATTAACAGTTGTTAACTACACCAAAAAATGGCAAATGCAATTTAACTACATGAATTGCAAATATGAATGTAGTTGAACTTCCAGCAAACTACTGCAAGCGATCCAGTAGCTACCAGTTTAATTATGTGGCAAAGTTTAATGTGAGGACCAAATGCAGACACAGCACAGGGTTGCCACGGCCAGAGAACAAGGGTTTAGAAGAAGCTGGTTTAGTGTGAGGACCAAATGCAGACACAACACAGGGTTGCCACTGCCAGAGAACAAGGGTTTAGAAGAAGCTTTATTTTATTGTCATTGTAACAGTGTGACACATACTGTACAACGAAATTTTGTTTGGAGCCAAGGGGCCCGGGCCACTGCTTGCATGCGCGCCGCCATCACGGGCAACTTTGGAGATTCAGTGTCTTGCCCAAGGACACTGCAACATGTGGACTACAGGCACCGAGATTTGAACCCTCAACCTTCCGGTTGGGCGACGACTTTTACTAATAGAAAGAGTGACTACAAGAGAACAAGATCATACATAAACTAACACATTAAGATAAGCGAACTAGAAATACAACTGGCTCAGGGGTGGCAGGCAAACAACAAAGGTGGCACAGGAAACAACACTAATGCTGGTTAGAAAAACACAGCTAAGCAAAACCAGACAAACTTGAGAGGAAACACTATAGTAACATATTAACAAAGACCAAGTAGCAGCAGGCACAGAAACAAAAGCCGGGATACAAAGAACAGCTGACTGACCATATAAAAGGAAACTAAAGTCCATAAACCAAATGTTTATGTGGCAAACAAACAAAGAGAGCTGGGGCAGAGTCCACACAGGGAAACAAGGCGCAGGGAAAACTTTCTGAGAACGCACAGGGCAAGAAAGGGAGTTTTTCTTCCCCACTGTCGCCAAGTGCTTGCTCAAGGGGGATTTGTTGGGTTTTCCCTATGTAATAATATTGATAACAGTAAGGTCTAGACCTTACTTTGTAAAGTGTCCTGAGATGACTTTTGTTGTGATTTGGCGCTATATAAATAAAATTTGATTTGATTTTGATTTGAAGAAACACATAAGGAACACAAAGGAAGTATCACAGACAAACCAGCTCCTAAACTGAACAAAGCAAATTGAATATACCTTTAAATGGTATATGAATGTGAATATGAATATGAATTAACAGAGTAAAGCTGGGACAGGTGAGGATTACATAAAAGCAGAAAGTGGCTTCAAAATAAGATGGATGATATAAATGAGTGGTCCCTTCAGGGTGATAGTTCTCTCACCCATAGGGCATTAGGGGGCCACTGAATGGCTTGATAAGGATGAAAATGATGTGAATCATCTCAAAGTCCACTTCCTTCTCTACTGTTTTGACAGTGACAGTGTGTAGATGTGTAGTTACATTAAATAATATACCACTCCACCCACTCAACCAGAAAAACAGGTAGATGAAAAACCCTTTTTTGATCAGGTTGAATCAGTCATTACACCGTCTTACTATTAAGCTATGTATGACTTTTATTTTGAAATCAGTTAGAGGAAGTCCAGATCTCAATCGCTCTTGACGTGTTTCTGTTTCTCTCAAGTTGTGGAAGTTTATCTCGCATGTCTGTTTGATGAATTCAGTTCATTTACAAAGTTTGAAAGTGAGATGAGCGAACACACGGTCCCAGCAGACCTCTCGGGACACATGTTGGACCTGGACGAAGACGAAGACCTGGAAGTTTTCAGCAAGGTAAAGAAAAACTCGCAGAAAAGAAGCCGAGAGCTTGGGACTCTCAGTTTCAAACAGTGCACTGGCTTTGTAGCTACGTGGATTTGACCCTGACACGGTACCGCCTTAACTTAGGGACGTTGAAGAAATAACGCTGGTTCACATGTCTCGTCCAGTCAGTACTGAATGTAGACCTTAACTTAGCGCCATTCCGTGTTGGTACCCATCGTGACCACACACTGTAGCGTAAAGACGGAAGAAAGCCAAATGTCCAGGATCAGCTGATGAGCGGACTTTAGGACCCGTCCTACCCGATGTTGCCTCTAGGCAAGGCTAACGCCAAATCCGTTCACTTTTTTTGTAATTTCACGTTCATTTTCTCTTCTACAGAACTTTACGCCTTATAGAAAAAAGCATTTTAGAGCTGTATCTAATCTAGAGGTTCCGCTTTTCAGTTCGGCTTAAAAAAACAAGACCTGACTGTTAGCCATGGGTTGCCTGTTTTCAGTGAAATTAATTTGAGCTTGATTGAACAATTTCAAGTTAAAATAATATTGAACTGATGAATATTGGGGGGTTATGTTTTTATGATTTTATATAGGCCGAGTTAGAGTTATGTGTGTGGGCCATGTAGATCACTGTGCACATAACCAAGGACATGCATTGGGAATGTTTTTCTTACACTGGACTCTTACTAATCCTGTCACTACTTGACAAGCTGTTCAAGAACCTCACTCTTTGTTTGCTCATCAGTCACAGAGCTATAAGTCTAAATGTGTGTTTGGCTCACAGTTATATATTTTATGGTATAATTAGAGCTGGTGTAGAATGAGCATAGGCTACACAACATACTGTAAAGATATTGTAGATTGTCTTGCTTTTTTAAAATAATGTATTCTCTAATGTGTGAACATGGTAGGGCTTTAGAGAAATGAGAGGATCAGGGTGAATGGCTTTATTCTGAACATTGTTTCTGTGTTGTGCTGGGCTTGATTTAGATCAAAATGTAAACAAAAGGAGCTTTTATCATGCAGAGCTGGGTGGTCATGCGTTGGCCTCCATTTCCATCCGTTTCTAACATCACGGGGTAATTGTGCTGACCTGTTTTCAGTTGGCACCGCTTCCACCTGGGGCCAAGTGGGGCTGAGGTTCCCCTTCATCGGAGCAATGTCTTCGAGATACGTGGTTAGCTGAAATATGCACCGTGACAGTGACTGCACTGGTGAATTTGTGTAATCATGACAGTGATGCGAGGGAAATTCATTACATTTAACATCAAAACCAATCCCAGCCAGCAATCGGGCGAAGGCAGGGTACACCCTGGACAGGCCGCCAGTCCATCGCAGGGTCTATCACATACAATGTACAACAAATGAACGTGTTAGGGTGATTTTTATTTTTAAGTAGATATGATTAGAATTAGTTAAGGTTTTTATTTTATAGCATACATAAGTATATATACTTTAATCTCACAGTTATGTTTATGTAGTCACATATCACCCTATGTGTTCACTAAATCACTGGTCAATATTTATAGTGTTTGCCAACTGGAGCACTGTTTAACATCAAAGGGACTGGTTCACTAAAACACTGAATCTCATTAGATTTACAGCTTTGGCAAAGAGGGTCCACAGTTACTTTACTATCACCACCTGGCAGATGAGACCAGGGAAATAGGGTTCACTGGGATACTATGGTTAGAAACCAGAGATTAGATCTGAAGGCAGGAAGAGGAGAAAACTTCAAAGGTAGAACCATATGCACACACAGCCAGAGCAGTTTTACTGGAACCGGAAAGCAATGCCTAAAATGGAGCAGTTAGTTGGAAACAAAGGAAGAAGTGAGTGTCTATGTAGAAATTAAGACAGTATAGGTATTCCTCCCCTTTTAGGGTGCAGTCCACGCCCATTGAAGCAGAGAGGACGATTGGAGGATGGATGGACTGAAGGACCAATAATGGGAGAGTTAAGTCTAAACCATGGCTTCTCCCCAACAGTTTTTGACCAATTAGATAGTAGCACCTTTTCATACAAATATTGTATACCGGCAAGTTGAGGACAGTCTTTTCTGTTTTGCCTAAACAGTGAAGATTCATGTGCACATGCTTATTTTGATACGTTAATGCATAATAAATTTCACATAGTGAAATATATATCTTTTTATTAGTCTTCTCTTTTCAAAAGAAAAAGAACTCTCCCCACAAACGCCTAGTACCAAGTGCTCCATTTTACAAGGGAGGCTAATAAGACCCTTGTGTGATCAAGATGTGGAAGACAAAACAATGCATTACAGTGCACTGGAAACAAAACTGCTCATTTGCAGCTAGGCACATGCCAGAGCTTGGCAAGAGAAGTTGAAAAACCCATTGCAGGCCTTTTCCACTGTAGGAACCTACCGACACGTAACGGAATTTGTACTGCTTGTCCCGGTTTCAGCTTTTATTTCCGTTGTCTTCAGCCATTCTTTGGAGATGAGTTCCAAGAGCTAAATTTCAGCACCTCTGAGGGGGAATGGTGATGGCAGAGTTGTTGCCCATCACTGGTTAAACATCTGTGTTGTCATGTCTCAAGTGCCTTACAAGCACAGTGTGTAAACATATTTATATCTCTTTAGAGGACTTGTTAGATTAGAGGTAAAATGGGACTTGACTGCGTACAAAGTGGCAACAACATCACCTTTCTACAAGTCTGCATTCTGACTGTTCAGTGGCTGTTTGGTAAACTGCTCCAATCCTGGCAGACTTTGTTGCGAGCATGGTTAACAAGAATTTTGCTTGCTGACTAGAAACTGTCTGCTCAGCTGTTTAGAGAGGAGGGTGGGGTCACCGTCTTGTAAGCAGTGATTCACATTAGAAAAAATACAGTGGAAAGGCAAAATGGAATAGACTACATCGGCCCTTCAGGTTCCTCCAGATTACGAGTATGGGAAGCTTCAGGTGACGGCTCGTTAAGTTTCTGGGGTGGAAAAATGCTAATGCACCTCAACATAATGATCAGGTCCAGGGTCACTTATTGCAGTTGGGTGGTCTAGCTTTTTTAAATGTAACGTATGAGAGGCATGAAGGCTCAAAGCTGTCAACAGTTTTTCCACCAGGTCATGTCTAATCCACCACAACTTAAAATGGCATTTGTGGTACCTGAAAACATGTAGAAATTGCTGTTTCTATCTCCCCCTGAGGCTATGAACACACAAGCAGTTCATCACAAAAATAAAGCTGTTAATTTTGGTTACTCTTTATTTGATCTGAATAAACTGTACTGCTCCATTTCAAATAACACACTGATTAGAGACGTTCTGTGTGTTTCCTGCAGAAAGAGGCAGAGTGAGAGCTCCTTGTAGGAAGATGATAACTCACACTATCTGAGATAAAGTCATGACATTTTCACGTAATAAGATTTCTTAAAATACTGTAAGTCTGGATGTTCAGCAACCAGAATTCTTAAAAATGAGATGAAATGACTTAATAAAAAATGTTTTGTATGTAGATAACAAAACCACTGATACTGAAACTACTGAATATTGATCAATGCTTCACCACTTTGAGCTTTCTAGAATGAAATATCTCATCAATTATTGGATTGCCACGGGATTTTGCAGAGACATTCATGGTCCCCAGCAGCTGAATCTCAATGACTCTAGTGATTCTCCGACATATGTTGTTTTGATGGCGGGCTGACCATTGACCATATTACTGTTGGTTGCTTGAAATGTTTATAATCATGGAATCAAAGCTTATATTCCTTTAATATCGCTGCTATAAATTGTTCTGTTGCTCTGAGTGAAGAGGAGCAACAGAACATCTACAGTTTCTCTCTTTAGTACTGAATGTACAGTACTGTTGGTGTGTGGCAGAGGAGATGGACCAAAAAGGCTTTATTCAGTCCAGTATTTTTATGAAGCCTTATAAAATTCTAACCCCACATACCATCTGGATAGATTTTCAAATTGAAATGCGCCCACAAGGTCCAGATGGCTCCTCGAGTTAGTAGTCAATGACAGACTGGGCAAATCACTGTTGAAAATCATAATGGAAAGTCATAACAGTCACAGTCTGCATAAGTTGGCCAATCGTGTACCTCCATTCAGTGAAGAGTTTTTTTGGATTCAGTCATTATAGTGTGAAATACCATACACATTGTTACATTAATGCATATAATAGTATAGTGTAATGTAACAGTCTGCAATAAGTAAATGTTAAAAATACTCCATATTCCCTGAAAAATGCATGAGCAATCACAATGAGATCATAGTATCGATTCAGACCTCTCATTTTTATGTGACAATGATTCTGTAGTGATTGTATTAGCTGGGCAGTCTCTTTCATCACAACAAAAGACAATTGTGCATTAACCTACAGGTTGTGTAAATCAATCTAATGTGTGTGATAGACGCGGAGTAAAATGTTTTGAAACAAGAAACTTTTTAGGACCAACAAGAATGTGAGTCATGGAAAGGCAGCGTTGGGAAGGAAGAACAAATGCATTCTGTTCTGACAGAAACTTGCTGTATTTGCACTGTCGTACAGTCTGCTGTGTAGAAGTGGATTCAAAGATGTTGACAGTCTGCAGCCAAAAGTAACAACCACATATTAGTACAAATACCTGGAATGTCACAAAATTGCCAGGAAAACTTGGACTCACTGTTTCTTGGCTAGGACCAGTAGCCAGTCAACAAAGACTTGAGAAAGTTATTACAGCAGCCAACAAATAGCCTGACATGCAACCTCTTGTAAAATGACAAAATGTTGTTTGTGCACTTGGGTTTTTGTAACACAGTGTGTTAACCAGAGGGCTTAGAGGCAGTGCTAGGTGGATTTCGTTACTTCTAGACAGAGCTAGGCTCACTGTTCCCTATGTCTCCAGTGTCACCATGCAAGTGGTATTAATCGTCCCTTCTGACTTTCTGCTAGTAAGCAAATAAGTGTATTTCCTAAAATGAAGACCTGTTACTTTAAGCCACTGTCAATGTGGAGTCTTATGTGTTCTGTGTGCTCAGAGTATGTTACAGCATTCCACTTGACACCCACATTGAATATGGTATAATGGATAATGAATTTAGTGTGGTGGTGAAACTGTGGTCACTGACCTTTAAACTAGTGTGCCTCTTGTTAAAGCAGATGATTTAAAGGATAACACCAGTGAGATGACCCCCCCCAATATTGTCAGCCTATAACAGAGGCATTATAGGCTTCCTGATTTAACTGTCTAGATCCAATATCCTTGATCTATAGACTATTGAGCTATCTATATCATTCATATGAGATTAAATATACATTTTTCAAAAAAAAAGTTTTTTGCATTGTATTTTGGAAAATGTCACATTGGTAAGTTTAATCATGTGCACAGATCAAACTTTTACAAGAAACTGCAAGTATAATGTTGCTATAGATATGGATTACTGCTCATGGTGCCGAGAGTTCGGACCGAAAAAGGGAAACGAGCTTTTGGATTTGCCGCTCCCTCTTCGTGGAATAGTTTCCAAGCAGATTTTAAATTTACTGAATTATGCTCAGTTAAAGCTTTTTATTCTCTTATGGCTCTTAGGCAACACGACTCTATTGGTCAGTGTAGGTGTTTTTAAATTGGTTGTATTGTTGATTATTGTATTTATGGTTTTGATTGTTTAAATGTTTAATGTTTTTGATTTGTATTGAAACTTATGTATTGACGACATGTGTTGTTGACCTCTTGGCCAGGTCACCCTTGTAAAAGAGATCGTGATCTCAATGGGTTTTTTACCTGGTTAAATAAAGAGAAGTACTCATGAGACAGTAAACGGTATATGAGCTATGAGCTAATGGTACTGTATGATGTATGAACATTAACAGCGGTTCATAACCTCATTGTACGGTATTACTGCCCTCCAACCCTATACTTAATTATGTCAAATGTACTCACGATAATGAATAAATTAGATCATATACAGTATAGGCATTAAATAAAATATCAACAGCAAATTAAATTACTTTTCCCTTCAATGCACAGTGATGAGATGATACCAAGGTTTATCTCAATGCAGATCAGGGTTGCCAGGAGGAAAATAATTATTGCCCATGTAGGACATTCAATAAAATTCAGTTTTTATTTGTATAGCGCCAAATCACAACACAAGTTGTCTCAGGGCACTTTACAAAGTAAGGTCTAGACCTTATTGTTATTATAAGTTTTTTGCATTGTATTTTGGAAAATGTCACATTGGTAAGTTTAATCATGTGCACAGATCAAACTTTTACAAGAAACTGCAAGTATAATGTTGCTATAGATATGGATTACTGCTCATGGTGCCGAGAGTTCGGACCGAAAAAGGGAAACGAGCTTTTGGATTTGCCGCTCCCTCTTCGTGGAATAGTTTCCAAGCAGATTTTAAATTTACTGAATTATGCTCAGTTAAAGCTTTTTATTCTCTTATGGCTCTTAGGCAACACGACTCTATTGGTCAGTGTAGGTGTTTTTAAATTGGTTGTATTGTTGATTATTGTATTTATGGTTTTGATTGTTTAAATGTTTAATGTTTTTGATTTGTATTGAAACTTATGTATTGACGACATGTGTTGTTGACCTCTTGGCCAGGTCACCCTTGTAAAAGAGATCGTGATCTCAATGGGTTTTTTACCTGGTTAAATAAAGAGAAGTACTGTGGGATATCAATTAGCTATTAATAGTTCGGTTTTGCTATGCACTATTGAATGTGCTGATCTCAGAGTGATCGGCCGGCCACACTCGAAACCGGCCATTTCTGATTTCTGATGATCGATCGGTGCATCTCTAACAAACATTGAATTTTATGTGCTCTCCATAATGTCTGTGAAGCCAGGTTTTGCTTCATTTTCTGTGCTGTAGAGCTCCATTGTTGTCCCAAAACTATTAAAAACACAGCAGTGGGCCCCAGCGCTGGACTGGATGTTATATATTGTATCTGCCTCACAAAAAACATGAGGTCAGTCTTTTTTTCAAAAAAGATGCCAGAAGGCAACTTTTTTACACTTTTTGAGGTAAGAGAGAGTCAACTGCATGCATGTGATCGCTGCTCTCTAACATCTCACATTGTTATAGCAAGAGAAGCAGTGCTAACAGAGCCATTATCTCATTGGTACAGAGCACATCGCTGGCCGATGGAAGCTCCATGCCCAACTCTCCCAGCTCCATGGTCAACCAGTACAGACTGGAGGAGGATGACGAGGAGCAGCAGAATGGCAACACCAAAGACATCTTCATCACCGTTGACAACCCAGAGAGCCACGTCACAGCCATTGAAACTTTCATCATGTACAGGGTCCTGACCAAGGTAACAGTACATGTCCCTGCACATACTGCATGAAAGAATGATCTTATCAAGCATCTCATAGTAGCGAGTCAGTGCTTGGTCTCACATGTGCAAATAAAAGCATTTGCCAGTGTTTCCATTCTACTGCATAATTGAAAAATGTAAATATAAAATGAAAAAATTAGTTTTAATTTTCATTTTTGTGTAGGTGTAGTTAATTCAGTTATTTGCTTTTTATATTTAAAGCGATGCATGCTAGCAGTTAGCTGTTCTGCTCTCAGGCAGCAGGGTTTTTGCTTCTAGTTCATTCAGTATGAGGAGTTAGAGGGATACTGCCTCAGTTTGGTGTATCATAAACACTACCAAGTACAGTATATGTGGTAACGCTCCAGCTGCTCTGAGAGATGTTAAACCTACATGGGGGGCCTGGTATTGATGTAGAACTTCTTTCAGACCACCCGGAGTGAGTTTGATTCCTGTGAGTATGAGGTGCACCGGCGCTACCAGGACTTCCTTTGGCTTCGAAGCAAACTGGAAGAAAACTACCCAACACTCATCATCCATGTATGTATTAACACACCACATTACTTCCTTAACGCACTATGGGCTTCACTTCCACCATACCAGAGTTTTGGATGATTCTCTTTAGTTGACTGCTCTTCTGTCTACACTTAATTAACTATATCTTTTAAGCGTTTGAATTTGTGGAGAAGAAATGGAACTGCAGGCTTTTCTTTATCACATTTTAACTTAAACGCTATTATCCCATACAAAGGACTCTAAGATAAATGGATATTCTTCACTGTAGTGGCCCAAAGGTTGTCGAGCTACCTAAAAAGGAATAAGCTCACTGACGCCTCACTGCAGAAAGCTGGATTATCAGGTTTTTCTGGATGCTTGGAGCACACAAGCATGATCTGTCATCAAATTCAGTTAGCAAAGAGCAAAAAAAGACATTTGCTTGTGGCGTTCTTAGATCTAGCTAATGCCTTTGGTTCTGTACCACACAGCCTACTGTGGCAAGCACTAGCTTATCTTAAAGTACCAGACTTAGTTAAAGGGTTAGCGAGAGAGTATTTTCAGGATATCCAGATTCACAACAGCAGAGCTATACTACAGCTTGGTAGCAACTGGAGATAGGCATCATGGCAGGATGCACAATCTCTTTTTGCCATCAATACCTACTGTGCTGAAGGCTCCCGTCAGTGATCAGGCCACAGAACCTCAACATCCAGTCTCTGTTGATAGACATTTCCCCTTCCAACGTGATTCTCTGCACTGGTTAATTAGGTCTTTGTACATGGCCAACTTTCTCATATACAGTAGGCTTCAGCCAGGATGTCCTCCCAAGGTACCATCAGCTAGAATAAGATGATGTGCTCGGTGGAGTCTTCCCAGAGAAGCGGAGTAGGGTGGTGGTTGTAATGCGCTAGAGAAATTTTTGCTGCTTTCACCGCTAGCTTCCAGTTTCTTGCTGAGGTCAGGATTCTTGCAGACGTTTCTGGCAACAGGTGTTGTGTGTTCCTCAGCTCTGACAAAGCCGATAAGCTTGGATGAGCAGGTGTGACTGTTTGTCATCAGTCCTTGACTGATTACTGTAGAGATTATACAATGCAGAACAAAAGTTTTTTGTCCTCAGATGTCTTTATTTTATATGATATGGTCTTTTCTACTTGTGTACTTTTTACGGTTGACTTTGTGTGTCTGTATATTGAACATCGGTTAGGATTTAAGGATTCAAAGATTTACTATTTGTCAAATATACAAACTAGTATGTGGAGTGAAATGCAGTGTGGTGTGCTCCTAAAGTTGTGTAAAACAGCTAGTATGAAAAAGAAGGATTAGGATAAAAGAAACATTTAAGGATTAAAAAAACAGTTCTCAGTAAGGAAGTCAAAACTGGAGGTGCTTCATTTTAATTTTTTAAACTAAATGCTGAGTGCTGAACCATCAAACGTTTGCTTTCTTGGGTGCAAGTTAGGACTCTGTGCTGCCACTGTTTGGCTCTCTGACTGAGTACTAAGCGTGGGTCTCTCCTCAGCCGCTGCCAGAGAAGTTTGTGATGAAGGGCATGGTGGAACGCTTCAGCAATGACTTCATTGAGACCAGGAGGAAAGCGCTGCACCGCTTCCTCAACAAGATCTCTGAGCATCCCATCCTGTCCTACAACCAGCACTTCAAAGTCTTCCTCACGGCACAGGTCTCTCTCTCTCTTTCTCTCTCTCTGTCTCACACACACACACACTCAAGCATTAAAATGACCCTGTTTCAGGCCTCTTCAGGAATCAAGGCATTGATGGGGGCTGGGTTCATAGTGACATGTGCAGTATCTTCACTCCAGAGTACATCACATTGTACTGTATATCAGCTAAAGTATGTACACAACAAACACCATGTGACAGTTTCCTGGCTTTGTTCTTTGTTTTGTTGTTCTTTCTCTTTTGCTCTCTTGTCTGTTTTGACAGGTAGTTGGAGACAATAATCCACTGCAGTTGGATGCACCTGGGCCCAGTGACCCATGGCTCTGCGCACATCATTTTATTTTCTCCTCCAATGCTGCTTTAACACTCATTTTTCACTCATCCATATACCACTAATGAGACTGATTACATAGCACATTATTAGTGTTTCTTTGTAAATTCTTTCTTATTTGGAATCTGTGTTAAAAATAAATGATTGGTTTGTTTATTTGAAACCTGTGTCTCCTTTGCTTGTCATGGCTTTTGAGCGAGGTCGTGACAACCAGCGTACAATTTAACATCCTGTATATTACAAAAAAAGAAATAGCTTTCAAAGAAATAGTTTCACTACTGAAACTACATTTCTATGTACAAATGAGATGCAACATGATAATAAGTGAGCTTTAAATGTGTTTGTAAGTGTATTGTTGAACATCTCAGACTGTCGCCCATGTTGTCATTGTTAGGGGGGTCCAGAGGCTTCAGCAGAAATGAACTTTCAAAAGTAACCCAATGCAAATCAACAGAAATAAGCTAAGCTTGACCTGAAAATGCTGGGTTCTGAGGACTTAACTTGTGTATGGTATGAGTGTTTTACAGTTTCAAAAAAGCCCTTTGGTATGATCTCTTACAGGAGCTGGCGCCTCACAGGAAACAGAGTGCAGGCTTCCTGAGCAGAATGGGGGAGACTGTGAGAGCAGTGGCCAATTCGGTACGAGGTCTGAGCAGCCGGCCAGAGGAGTTCACTCTAATGCAGGAGTATTTGGAGAACTTCAGCAACAAGATTTGCTCTGTGAACAAAGTCACCCAGAGGGTCATCAAGGAACAACGAGGTAGTACAGCAGCACCCTGACGAGTCATTTTCATAATTTAAGGTCTATTAAAGCTTATGAAAAAGGATGCATGTCATAATTATCTCACTCTGCATCTAATCAACTTAGCTCCAGCTGGTTCAGAGCTCAGCAGCAAGGTATTTTTAAAGCCCCTGCAAATTACCCTTCAAATATAAAAGATAAACTCCACCAATTTTTTCCCCCTTAGTGTGTCTTCATAGATGTTGGGAAATGCTAACGCATATGTGAAACAGTGTTGTGTAGCTGAATGAAAGCTGATAAATAGCTGAACATTGTGTCATCAGCAAACTTGAACAGAGGGGTTAAAGAGGACCTGTGCATAGGTCCCCGGGGAGTTGAGGTGCTGCAGGATGTAATGCAGTGCCATGTTGAGTGCATCATCTACTGACCTGTTTGCACAGTAGGCAAACTGCAGGGGGTCTACGATGTCCTTCAGATGGGACAACACCACTCTTTCAAAGGACTTCATAGCTACAGATGTCAGGGTGACAGGTCTGTAGCTGACTGAGGGTTTCTTGGGAACTGCTGAGCTACTACTACTTACTGCTGAAAATGCCCATGGGTTTCCGTCATGTAACTTGTAGTATAATATGAGAGCTATCAGTAATTTTCATTAGAATATGAGAGGAATTTCAGTAGTATGTGAAAGTATTTCATGTGCCTGAGAGAAGTATCTGATTAATGGCCTTACATGGTAATATCATGGCAATATCTGAGTACTACAAGTTTGAAAGTGAAAAAGAAATCTGGGGGTGTGGAGTTAGAAAGAAGTAACCTTACCAGGTCTCTGTAGCTCACTCCTCATCTTTGTTTGAGACTACAAGCTCCAGGCTACATTAGTCACTACCAGTATAACTGCCCCAAAATTTTGACCAGTGTGTCAGTGGTGTTGGTGGGTAATAAAGGTGTCAGGTTCTTGTATGAAAGAATTCATGTTAAAAAAAAGAAAGAAAAAGTTCAACTGATTTTGATACCTTTTTTGTGCATGCTGAGTTTGATGATGTTATAAGAGTACAGTGCTAAATCAGTAGATCAAGTATTTAATAATTCTGAATAAATAAGTGATAATAAACAAAAAAGAATATCACGAGCATCCAGATACTCACCGTTTTCCTGGTGGTAACAGGAAGAATAACTGAGTGAATATATTTTCAAGGCTTTTAAACAAAAACAAACCACAAACCACACACTACTCCAGGTTTAGCTTCTCTACTTTGTTTCCTGTCACATACAGAATTTATTATTTATTTTATTTTTGAATTACAAAGCATTACATGGTCAGGTCCATAGGAACTTATAGGACAAGGATACTAGATAGACACATTTTTTGGAGTGTAACCATTGATTCATTCCACAGATGATTTACAGCAGAGAACTGTAGCTACATCCAGGTGGACTGTGTTTACCTGTGTTCTCTGTGCTTATAGAGTATCTGGATGAACTGAAGCAGTACAGTCCAACCTACGTGCAGTGGGCAGGGTTAGAGGGGGAGCTGGCAGAGCCCCTGAAGGATGTGGCCAGCTGTGTGGAGCGGTGCAGTAAGGAAACAGAAGAGCAGATCCAACATCTGTCTCAGGTCCTGCTCCCCATCTTACACGAATACGTCCTTTGTGGTGAGACACTAAAGGTGAGCCCAGACCACAGTGATGATGTCTGAAATTCAACTCAAAATGAGATATGGGGGTCCTAGGGCCTCGTTTGTCAAGGTATCTGCACAACAAGTTCTAAATGTGTAAGTAGGAACTGTCTGTACAAACACATTTGCTGTTTATCGGAGTTGTGCATGCACAGCTTCACATAATGAACAACGATCTACCGTATGTCACTCGCTTACCCTGTTGTGGTGCACATCCATCTGATCATGCAAGTGCAGGCTCAGTTACGAACTGAAATGCCCCAGCATGCCAATTACAGTCAGCCACATCTTGCAGAAAGTCCTGGTAGCCTTAATGATGAAAACCATTGCAGGCAGCAAGGTTAAGTTACTAGAGCTTTAAAAAAAGATGCTGGAGCGTCCTCGCAGCAGGCATGTGGGGAAGTCTCATTCCTTGTGTTCCTGTAATGTTATTATTGTGTTTCACATTGTGTTCTACATTGTTTCCACGACTCCCACACTTCGCTGGTTGCCACACGAGCGGTGACAAAAAGAATGAAAAATTAAAAGAAATAGTATGCAGCTGTACCAGTTGTCAGCACAATAAAATACAGTGCAGACACTGCAGCGTGACAGCAAAGACACCTGACAGTTACTGATATGCTTGATCACTTGCATTAAGCCAGATGTTATGTTATTATGAGTCTAGTGGCAAGTTTTATGTTAAAAATGTAATACCCGAACATATCTTTGAAAATGTGGAATAACAAAGGGTTAAAATTGTGCACATACTGTGTGCATTCTTTGTTGATAGTGTGTTTTGTGTTGTTGTTTTTGTTTAGATTATGTGCTTTACTGTGCCTGAGTCTAAATAGTTGGAAAAACAGCCACAGGACAGTACTTTATGCAAGACAATTTAAGGTTGCAATAATTTCATATTCAACAGAAGTATTGTATAGATATAATTCACGTAAATGTTTTTATCATACTAGACAGCACTCAGACAGTGTAAACCTCTGCCAAGCTCACTTTTCTCATAATCTGATTCATTCCACGCAGAACTCCAAAAATGGACTGGACAGAATTATTGACACCTTTTCAACATCAACAGAAACAGTTCTATTTCCAGTCTGTGATGCTCCTTTAATTTGTAATAAAACTCACCTGTAGTGATCAGCAGGTGCTGGAAATATAGAAATCACAATTTCAACCAGTTATAATGGAGAAAAGTTGACTCAACCTTTGTGTGGTGTGGACCACACTGAGCATGGAGAAAAGAAAGAAGAGTAAAGAATTGTCTGAGGATTTGAGAAGCACAATAGTGGAAAAGCATGGACAGTCTCAAGGCTACAAGTCCATCTCCAGAGATCTGGCTGTTCCTGTGTCCACTGTGCACAACACTGTCAAGAAGTTTACAGCCCATGGCGCCGTAGCTGATCTCCCTGGACGTGGACAAAGGAGAAAACTAGATCACATTGCAATGAAGGATTATTCACATAGTGGATAAAGAGCCTCGGTTATTTGGTCCGATAAGGATAATCACCTTTATTGGCCAAGTATGTTACACACAGAAAAGGAACTTGTTTTCGGTACAGAAGCGATAGCAGCCATCTGCAGCGCCACCTCAGCCGATGGCTCTAACCATCGGGGGCAATGGGGGGGAGGGTTCAGTGTCTTACCCAAGGACACTTTGACACGTGGACTGCCGGCACCGAGATTCGAACCTAGGTGTGCTACCTGATATTAAGTTGAGGGTGTCAATAATTTTGTCCAGTCCATTTTTGGGGTTCTGTGTGGAATGTATCGGATTTAACTTTTTTTTCTGGGAGAAGTGTTATCTGACAGAAATGCAGGGGTGCCCATATTTTTGGCCACCATTGTACATAGTTTCTAAGTCGACAGAGATGTCCGGATGCTTGAACCCACTATTTGTCTAAAAATGAGCAATATTCTTAAACTCACACTCACCAAGTCCAGGTCCCTTGACATTTAGTGATTTCTGGAAAAAATATGACTTTGAGCAAGTTTTGTTAAAAACCAAAATTTTCACTGGTGTGTCCCAGGCTGTGATGAGACGTAGAGACAACATCCAGGCTGAGTTTGAAGCCAAGAATGAGACCCTGGCATCCAAAAAAGCTGACAAAGAAGCAGTGAGTACATTTTCCCATCGACACACTGACTAAAAGTCCAACACACATAATTGTTTCTTCTCTTTCTGCATCCCTCTGAGCCATCCAGTGTGTTTGTGTCCCCTCCAGTCATCTGACCACAGTGCCACCCTCAGCTCATATTGAGAAGATAAAAGGGCTTCCTGGGAGGATTATCTAGATATCCAGGC